CCCCAAAACCCCAAAACCCCAAAACCCCAAAACCCCAAAACCCCAAGAATGAAAACTTAATTGAACTTGATTATTTGTTTGATCTGATCATCTTCTGAGCTTTTTCCAAAATATCTTTCTTGATAGTTCCATACTCAGGGTAGTTCTTCAACACTTCTTTGCACACATCGACACATCTCACAAACCTCTTCGTTTTCAAGTAGTTGTAGGCGAGTCTGAAGCCAACCGAAGCGTTTCTGTTCGAACTCATTTTCCAGGCAACTTGGTAGTGCTTGGCAGCTTGTGAGTAGTTTCCTTCTTTTTCTCTGATGACGCCCATGAGTTCTTCTGCTTTGACCAAACTCATGTTCAGTCTCAGGCACTTCACGAGCAAGTTCTCAGCGTCGCTCATTTTACTGTTGGCAATGTAGTAGTCGGAGAGCAAAAGCCACCCAGTCTCGAACTCGTCAGCGAACTCTGGCATGTAGTTCAGAGCAGTCAGCTTCTCTAGCAAGTTCTTAGCGTCAGAGGCTTTCTTCGACAAGAGCTTAGCCGAAGCCAAACACAGGATGGCCGGCACGTAGTCTGAGTTGCCTCTGAGCAAGTCCTCGAGCATCTTGCTTGCCTTTGTGATGTATTCTTTTCTGTGAGTGTGGATCATGGCATAACACTCGAGAATGGTTGTGTCGTACTCCTTCATTGCAAGTTCTTTGACAAGGACATCTGCAGCTTTCATGTTGTCTGAACTAGTTTTGAAAACGGCTTCTTTGTCTTTGCAAGAGTAAATGATTTCATCATGTGGGTTCAGGTAGATCTTGATCATGAGGACCAATGCGTCTTCACCATAGAAACTATCGAACCGTGCTCTGTTAAGTGCTTTCAAAGCTTTCTGTGGTTCAGAAGTAAACCTGTAGTAGAGTCCTTTAGCATATGCAAGACCAGCTTCGTTTGACCTGATAGCGTTGCTCTCTGCTTTCTCGATGTAATGCATTGCTTCTTCAATCTTGCCAGCTCTCCTGAACAACTGAACGAGCTGCGACAGCGCTCTGAAGTTGTCAGGTTTCTCGTCAAGCAAGTTCTTGAATGTCGAGAGAGCTTCTTCGGTGTCTCCTCTGAGCAACATCAGGTTCGCCATCATAAAAGAAGTTTCTTCGTCTGAGGCGTCGAGCTTCAGGACTTGTCTGCAGTAGTACACACACTTGTCAGGATCGTTCTGAGACAGGTGGAGTCTGGCCAGACCGAAGAGTGCTTTGCGGTGTCCTTCATCTCGCTTGACACAGCTTTCGAGAGCTCTGATAGCCCCATCGTAGTCTCCTTCGCGCTCTTCAAGATACTTCGCAAGCTTGAAGTTGATTTCTGCAGTGATTCTGCGTTCTTCGTCGACTCTATCAATGGAGACTTCTCTGACTCTATCGAACACAGCTTCTTGTACAGCAAGTGCATCATAAAGTGCTTTGGATGCATCTTCATTAGGCTTGAAACGCCACTCTCCACTCTGGACATCTTCTTCCAAAAATATTTTGGCCATCAACAGTGTGTACTGGACTCGCTTAGGGTTTGTCATGTCAGGATCGTCCATTGCGTTGAGAGCCTTCATTGCTTCAATGATGACTCGCTTGGCTTCATCAAATGCTTTAAGTTTGAAGTACAACTCGGCCAAGTCAGTGGACAAATCCAGGAGTTTAGAATCATTGCTTAGAGCAGTTTCATAGTATCTGATTGCTCGGTTGTAGTCGTGAGTTACAACATGGGCTTTACCAATTTCTCTGACAAGCGAGATGTCGTCTCCACTAACCTGAAGCGCTTTCTCATAATAAACAACGGCTTCTTCAGGTTCTTGAATGTCCATGAAGGCATCTCCAACCATTCTGAAGTTTGCTTCTGTGCTGTCAGCATCAATGATTTCCATGTATCATCTTTTGTAGTTCTTTCTGTCTCCGAGTTGACCAAGATAAATTTCAGCTGCTTTCTTCTTGGCCTCCACAAAGTTTGGGTTTTCAGGAGTAATCTTATTTTAACAAATTCAAAGCCTTTTTGATGTCTCCCATTTTAACGAATAGGTTGCTTTGACCAATAATGACATGAACTTCTTCAGATGTCTTAGAGAACTCAGCAACTGCTTTCTGGAGTACCTTCTTCGCGCCTGCAAAGTCCGCAAGTTCTGCTTTGACCTCTATGAGGAGAATAAATATTTTGGCCCTCTCTTCCATTCCGAACGGAAGATTATACCTTTTGGATCCAAGCTCTTTGCCTTTGGCGTTTCTATCTTTGACTCCAGGAAGGTCGTACGCAGTCTCAAGCGACTTCAGAGACTCTGTGAAGTTACCCATTTTCTTTTCGACTTGAGCTTTGATCAACAGAAACACTGGATTTGTTCTGATCGAGAAGTCTTGTGAGAACGCTTGTTGCAAAGCATTGTTTGCTGCCTGGATGTCTCCAGACTCCATGTTGATGATCGAAGTCAGCACATGGGCTTCTACCAAGTTCGAGTCATTCTTGAGGCAGTCGTGCAAAATCTTGAGAGCTAAATTGGTTTCGTTAATGAGCCACTTGGCTTTGGCAAGAATGATGTTGGCTTCACTGTTGACAGGGTATTGTCTGATAATATTTTCTAAAAGTTTAGTTGCTTTATTCATATATCTTGGTATTTCTTCTGATTTAGATATTGGTTTCACCCCTCCATGCTTTAAATATTCTTTAGCTAATTCCAAAAGAAAATCTGGATTAAGCTGTGTATAGAATGTGAATCCTGGTGGAACTCCTTTAGTTTTGGTGATATGATGGTTTAATCATTGATCAAGAATTTTAACCGTTACATTCTTTGGTTGCTGCTTCCTATATGATATCATTCCTTCTAAAAAGAAATGTTGAGCTGTCTTTTCTTGCCCTTCCGAAATTTCATTCACCAACTCAATCTGTTGTTGAGCATCTTCAATTTTACCTTGAAGAATTCTACAATAAATCATTCCATAAAGTGGCTCCATGTTAGTCTCGTCATAAGTTGCAGCCTTTTGGTATGTTAAGAAGCCATCATTGTAATCATCAACAAGGCATCGTTGGTAAGCAAGTTCTCAGGTGTATGTTCAATTTTCTGGCCTAAGAGAGCATGCTTTTTCAATATACTCCAGACATCTCTTAAGCACATCCACATCTCTGGAACAAATCCTTGCAAATAGTTTCGAGTAGCTGTAAAAAGCTTCTGCATTTCTGGATTCTTGTTCCTCAAATGCATTGGTGAGTTCTTCAAATTTCTCCATGAGCAGCTCATGATCTTTTTCTCTTGAGAGATAGTAGAAAATATAAATTCTAATAGCCTCGATATTGAATGGATCCTCGTCAAGGGCTTTCTGGACTGTCTCAATCACAAGATCCCACTCAGCATTGATGATATGTAGCTTAGCTTTAATGATATTTCCTGGGATAAAATCTTTGTAAGAAATTGTCACTTCAGTGATTACCTCAATTGCCACACTATAGCTTTTGTTCATTTCATAATAAGCGGAACGACCAAGTAAGGCTTCTAGATGCTTTGAGTTTCCTCCTTCACTTTCGTTAAGGACGGAATCGAAAATTTGAAGTCCTTTCTCAATATATTCAGGTTTAGGAGCAGCCAAATAGATCCATCCCTTAATTGCAATAGCGTTTAGATTTGAAGAGTTGCTCTCAATGACATTCATAACTGTCTGGGATGCTCTTTTAAGTTCATTGATATGCAGATAGAACAAAGCTGCATTCAAAAGATCCCGGTCACTGGCTGTACTCTGTGCACTCTCTTGAGAAAACTGAAGTTGCTCAACTGCTTCTCTGTCAACAATTCTACAGTGTTCGTGGTAATAAATCAGAGCTGTAGTGGCTGCATATGAGATCTCTCTCCTTGACTGAATCATTTCAATCTCTCTTATAGCTTCTGTTGCGCTGCCTAGCTTGAAAATACCGAATCCTTTCCAGAAGGTGAGGATGGGATCCACTCCTTTCTTCATTTCATAGTCGCAAAGATTGACAATAGAGTTCCAGAGGCCTTCTCTACAATAGTAGTTAATTCTTGCCTGGATTTCTTCCATTCTTTTTTGAAAATTTAAATCAATTATAATTTTTCCTAGTGGGGTTTTGGGGTTTTGGGGTTTTGGGGTTTTGGGGTTTTGGGG